TATCTTCCTATAATTTATTTTAAATTATAATATTTGTAAATATGTGTGTGTGGGTATATATATCATATAACATAACATGCTTCTTGATTCATAAAAGTCATTGTAATAATATAATATTAATTTCAAAAAAAAAAAAAATCTTAAGATTAAAAAAAATATGCATGCAATTACTTAAAAATTCGGTATTCTCTAATAAAAATAATATATTTTAATAATTACATAACACTTTTTTAATAATAACACAATAAATATAAATAAAAATATAATTAATATTGTACGAGAACAATTAAATTCCCGTTATATTAATTAACAGGGCATGCAAAGTTTTAATAAGTTAAATGCGTGAATTAAGTATAAACTTTCTATACTTAGTTTATCCATAATCTACCTTCTAATATTGATATATAAAATAACATAAATTTAAATTTTAGATTTTAAATTATATAAAATAACATAATATATAAGATATAATGTTCAATAATTTAGCTAATATTATTTATTTTTTAAAAAATTATCTACGTACACATACATATATATATATATATTATTCGTATTTCAATATGAATAATTTTATAAAGATAATTTATATAATTGTAAAATTTTACTCCACCCAATTGAAATATAATTAATAAGTTAAATAATCAACTTAGAAAATAATATAATTAAAGTACAAAATCACACATATAAAATCTGAAATAATTAATATAAATCTTGAGATCTCATGAATGATAGAGGAGAGGTAATGATTGTGTGTGAAATATATGGGGGGTAATTTGGTAAATTCAGTGGAGAAAAAAGTAATTGAATTAGGGCAAAAGAAGGTAGGGAAAAAGACGGAAGAAGATCAAAGGGGAGGTGGTCTTATTATCACATAAGTTTGAACAACACAGGTTCCATGCAGCTTCCTCGCCTTTGTCATTTTGTTCATTAACTAATTGGTCTCATACGTGCCCTCTCGAAGGGCCGTTTTCCCAATAAATCACTCCCCGTTTAGCTACATATAAGAGTGTTTCCCGAAACCAGCTACATACATATATGTATGTACGTATGTATGTAGGGTGTATGTATGTATGTATGTACGTATGTATGGACGTCAAATGATTGGAAGAGACATGTATATGACGATTCTCAGAAAAGTATAAGCCACTGCCAGTAGTTCATTTAACTCATCGTTCGTTTTGCAATATAATATGTGTAATTTAAGTAACTATTGGTTATATATGTTATATTGCAAGAGACGTATATATCCATTTATCAGATAATGATTCTTCAACATATACATCATGAAAGAATGTGCAGAAGCTTTGGTATCAGTGTAAGATGTTCCCTTCTGGATCATAATCGTCTAATGAATTATTTCGAACAATTTGTATGTATCTTCACATAAAATATATATATATATATATGTGTGTGTGTGTATGTATAGATATATAATAGAAGATGACCTTTGATTAGTAGACCATGGCATGGCACATACGTAGACAAGGACAATATAAGTCATAGCTTTCTGCAAGTAACCCAACTGCGTGGCCTCTATGCCACCACACTTGCAGGTACCTTTTCACAATCCCATGTGAACTTTTCATGTCTTACAACGTACCATTTTCCCTATCTCTATTGGTGAAAATTAAACTTCTTGTGATTTTTACTTCTACTAGAACACAAACTAACAGCAGTTATATATTTATATATCTGTTAATAACTAGTATATATATATATATATATCTCATTTCAATAAGAGAAAATTTCCACTTGTAAAATGATACTCATATGTTTTTTTAACAAGTGAAGCATATTTCGCGTAATAAAACACTAATAGAATTATTTTGGAACTTAAATTTAAAGTAAATAATTAGAACTATATCAAAAATTATATTAGAGATCGAGTTAATTTATTTAATATTATAAACTGATTAAATTTAATCATTCTTTAACTGTTAAATTTTTTTAATTAAAATAAAATTAACAAATTAAAAATTCGAAAAAGATATCAAAATGAGTTAACTCATTCATTATTGTAAACAAATCGGATCAAATAAAACAAAACTTTTTAGGATTTGTCCGATCTATTATATTGATTGTTCTCAAAATTTTCCATTAAACTAAATGGATGAGGCTCAAACGAGTGTGTGGTTGTCTATTTTTTATTTTATTAAAATATATAAATTAATTTGTTATTTTAAATTTATTATTTACTTAATTGTTTAAAAATTTTCAAGCTCTAATCCTTAACTCAGAACTAGATTGAAGCAAACTTAATGCTACAATTTTGCTTGGTCTTACCAAATTCACATAATGAGTCAAGCAATTTCTCGAGGTCATCTTTTTGTTGTGTCATTTTTTTTTCAATTCGGATTGATAGTTATAGATTATAAATTTATAATTCCGTCATCCAACATGTTTTTTTTTTTTTTTGTCCTTAATCTATTTCAATCTTTGATTCAATAAAAGTTTGCAAATGATTGTAACTTAGTTCATTAATGATTTTGGCATTTTCAACAATTAATTTCACTCAATCAAACTATGTAGACCTTTCTCATTTATATCTCTTATTGTATAGCTTGTAACCTTTTCTTTGTTCACTTCCATCTATTAATACCCAAAAGTATTTATAGAAGACATCATCGAAAGTGACTGGCTAGCAATTTGGAGGATCATACCTATATAATTGATCTTTGAAGAAGATCACGAGTTATATATGTACACACACACATATACCGATGCATATATATATGTATATATAATGAAAATAGTTTGATGAACCACCGAAAAGGACTGCATCTGGGTTGAAGTTTGCTTTGTAAAATATATACATATGTATATATATATATGTAAACGTGTTTGGCTAATTTTAATTTCTCGGAAAATTCATGGTCTGAATTTTCTTTCAGTGGTCTTTTCCGTGATTCCCAAGTCTGTGACCTATCCAAATCTGCTCCAAGGAGATATCAATTTCACTGTACTTTCTCTAAGCATCCGATGCTTAAATTTATAATTCAATTGTCAATTCTATCATTTCTTCTATGTATAAATAGACTTTTTGAGATGGTACGAAAGTCGATATGAATGGCTAATATATGTATGTACACATTTATATATATATATATACACATAAATATGTAATGAAACACACACACACATATATATATATATATATATAATGAAGAACCAGTTTTTATAATTAAAGAATTAAGTTTTTCACGGTAATTTATTAGAATAATGAAAATATTTTACTTTTTTTGTTTTTTTTAATAATAACGTTTGAATATCAAAAATGTTATTTTTATTTATATCTATTTGTAATATTCAATTGTTGTTTAATGTATTTTAAATATTAATACTAATATTATTTATTTTACTATTTTATATAATATTTTTTCTTTAAATTCGAATATTCAATCGATTCTTTTTTATTGACTTAAGATATAAATAAGAACGAAATTTTATAATAAAAAATAAGTAAATAAAAGTTATTATAATTTAAGAAAATTCATGTAATTTCCAAAAATTGAACATATAATATTTTTTTGGATCCGTAGATTAGTTGTGGACTACATGAAGCCCATTAGCTATAGGCCTTCACCGGATAACATATTATAAAATTGAGGAATATTCATAATTGCTTCATTTAAATTTAATATTTCTGCTTCGACTTTTATTTTGTGTAAAATAATATATATTATGTTGTACTAAAAAATTGCTAATTAATAGTACCTATTAGATACTTAGGTATATATATATATATTATGGTATTGCATGAGTTATATATATTATGTTGAAAACTTTGCTAAGTTATTTTAGTATTCTTGTAATCTAGAGAAACTATGATCTTGAATCACATTTTAGGGTGATTATTTGAGAAAGTTTAAATTTAAATTTAATAAAAAGAAAATAATGATATAAAGATTAGAGGATTCTCTTTTGATTTTTTTTTAAAATTTTTTAATGTGTTTATAAAAGTGATATAAATTTTTTTAATATTATGTAAAAGTCATATTTACTATCATATAACCACTAAAAAATTGATATAATAATTATAAGAATTATAACTAACAATAGTATAGTTTTATGATATCTTTAATAATTATTTAACTTGTAGTTAATTGTCAGCATATTTGTTATCCGTTGATGCACATATTAAAAGATAACTATTCTTTTCTTATTTTTAGCACATGATATATATATCATACTCTAAGATTGTAGCAAATCATTCTCTCATTCTTATCTCTACAATTCCTCATTATATAAGTATGAGCCAATTGTCCTCACATCAATTATAACTAAATTATTATTTTCTCCAAAACTTACATGGTATCAGAGGCATAAACAAAGGAATCAGCTTCTACCTAAAACACCATTACTACCTCTCATCACTCTTTCTCCATTAAACTCACAAGCAAGAACTATCTTGCTTGGAAATGCAATTCTTACCCCTATAAACCACCAAAAATTAATGGAATATATTTATGGCTTCACCTGCTTTACCAAAAAAAAAACCAACCATTGGCAAACTTGAAGAAATCATTCCCAATC